TGCCAGCGGGCGTCAATACAAAGGTTGCAGGAGGTAGGCATGGGCAGCAGTGCTGACGCACGCTTTCTTGTGGAAAGGCAGATCAGGGACACTGCGTGGTGCTTCCAGGAGCCCCTCATTTGCAGCTTGTCCTATCACTAGGCTTTCCAGAAACCCTGCGAAACGCTTATGTTGGACCAAAAGCCATTTTGAAATGGACTCCCATGTTCCAGCTTGCTCAGGCTGCATGTGCGCGACAGTGTATGCTTGAAATCTTGGTCGCGCATGCTGAAGCACTGAGCCTTGTTTCATTGCACGGAGGGATAGAGGCTCCGTGCCAAAACACGAATCCAACAGGAAATGCCCGAGGCCCGGCAAAATGTTCACCCACACACGCGCAACGGCTTGACCATTTCTTGCTTCAGGCTTGAAAACATCTTAAAACACAATTTGCAGGTAAGGACAATGGGCCTTCACCTTATATAGTTTGCCGAGGCCAAGCATGTTCAACAGATTGACAGTTTGTCCTTGCGTCAAAGACTAATCTGGACCTGGCTTACTTCACGGGCCAAAATTAAAGCTGCCCTCGGCCAGAAGTGCGAAAGGTGTCGCGCTCAAAACTGCTTTAGAGGGGAATCGGGGAAGCAGAAGCTGGCCTTGCAGCGATGTCCGTTCCACGCGATATTCCGCGCGATGTTCCGCGCCATGTTCCTCGCGATTGCAAGTTGAGTGCCGCAATCGCTAGCGGCCGCCATCGGCGATTTGCCGTTGCGAGTTTGCTTTCAGGCGGCACGATGATTGAAAGGAACACGCAAGAAACCTCACCTTTCCCAGCTGGTATCGAGGATCCACATGCAGGTGTTTTTTTCGGAGTTTTTCCAGACCCGACTAAAAGTGAACATGTGTGATGTTTTTGGCTCATTTGTGGCTAGGTCCCCCAGTTGTGCGCTTTTACCCTTTGTTGGGGGAGGTTTCCAACCTACTAAGATAGACTACAGAAAACAAATCGGGTACCCTTATTCTATCCTCTCAAATCTGGAGGACCTAGGTGGTGTCACCAGCCAGAACCATGACCCCTGTCCTATTCCCACCGCCCAGTTGTTTGGGTCGTGCACCTTCGACCAGGAGAGACAGCATTTGCTCTTTGCGGAGGAGGCGCAGGCGCGGCCTGAAATCTCTCTTTGCTCAAGAACATGTTTACTTCCCCCTGTGGGTTTTAAAGAGAAACTAAACCCTGCTGGACATATGTTTTCCTCATTTTTCCATTTTGCCGCAAAAACATGAAAGTGTTTAGTGGTTGGGTTTCCATTTAACCCACAAGTCAAAAACTTTTAGCCGAACATCAGGAGAAAAAAAAGGAAGGGATCCAAGCCCCATAAACCATGGTAGTTTCCCCCGGTTCCTTCCCAAATCCCGGCGGATTCCCTGTGGGGAGGTGGCGGCGCTACGCCGTGAGCTGGAGCACCGGGAGCTGGCGCAGGCGGGCTCAGTGATTGTTGAGGGAAGGTGTTTCATGGTGTTTTGAGGGGAGGCCAAAGGGAAAACCCGAGGGTGTTGAGTGTCTCCTGAGATTTGCATAATATATGTATATACTTTTGTTTTGGGGGGGTCTCCTAAGAAAAGGCGAGTATTCATATATGGCCATAGGTTGGGACCTCAGAAGCCGAAGGGAAAACCCAAGATTTTGGGTGTTGCTGTTGGATCCTGGGCAAGTATGTTTGGGCGCGCGGCACGCAGAGCTCAGTGCCGCATCCGCGCTGGTGCCATGTGGCCCCAAATTTTTGTTTCAGTGCCAGGACCGAAACGCGCATCCACGAAGGGCGATTTTGATACTGCGGATGGCCGAAATCCGTTTGCGCCACTTTGAAACCATGGCTAAAACTATTGTTTGTTGGTTTTTGCAGGGGCCATCATTCCAGGGTTTCTTAGGTGGTGCGAAATGGATTTCGTCCATCGGTATGATATGAGTTTCAACAGTTGGAACCACAGAAGTTGCTGGTGAACATGAAGCCCCACCACAACGGCGAATGGACACACCACCAACCAGATCAAATATCAAACTACGAGCACCACAAAAGACATGGAGACCTAAAGCAGCACCTTCCACAAAACTTGACACCACACAACCAAAGGAGCAATCCATAGACCACTCGATGTGTGCCCCTGATTTAAAATGATGCCCATGGTTTCTCACGTTTCTCACCATGAGCTCATCGATTCGCGAAAAGTCATGAAGGTCCTGTGCTGGTTCCTTCCTTTCGGCTTTGGGCTTTGGAGGACGTGGAAAACAATCTTTCGGACCTGGCCGCGTTTTTTTTTTTTCTCGACCGATGTCCGGTGAGATCAACTGGAACGGGTCCTCCAGACCGGGGCCCCCCCAAACGGAGTTTCCTTTGGGGATGGGAATCCGGAAAAAGGGGCGGCACAGGAGGCGAGAGATGCCCAGCTGCAGCAGTCGCAAGAGGAGCTCGGAGCTGAGACTAAGCCTCACGACCCACACCTTTCGGGTCTTTTTCTCGCGATTGCGGCTGATAAAGCAGTCATGGGGATGGGCATCAACCCAAATCACCGATGTGCTATTTCCCACTTTTGCACAAGGGTAATGAACTAAGCCTTGGTGGGAGTCGGGTAAATCGGAAGCCATGCCCAGAACACCTCCAAACCTCTAATCAGAGGGAGGCTGAGGGTAGAATGTAAGAGGGGACGGTGGACATCAGAATTCTGTGGGGATTCGTGTCCACCAACCACTTTTAAGGTGACCACTCTGTGAAAAATCATAGCTCAATAAGCGACCAAGGCTACTGGAGGTCGTACAGGACTGAGGACGTGGGCACATGAACTCATGGCCTCATGGCATCAGGTCTGCGACCGACTTGAGGCCGCTCGATGACGGTCGTATTCTTTGCGGGGGTCCATGTCTGGTTTGGCTATGGAATTTTAATGGGAACACCTCTTAAAAGTGGCTGATTGACATAACACCCGACCTAAATAGTGTGCATCAGAGTGTTTCCAATTAAGATTTATGCATATGTCACGTTGGTGAATGTTGCAACGATGGGGAAGCCAGTCTGTTTGAGCAGTTTTCCGGACCTTCAACCCAGACTACCCTACATGGGCCTTTTTGCCCAAAAGCGTAGGTGTATTTTTTTAAGGGGGACCCCCCCAAAATGGGCGGTTTCCTTTTCGCTTTTTCCTTTACAACAAAACGAGAGCTACCCTCAGACCGGAGCTTGAGGCACTCCCCTGCTATGTGAGGCTCGGCAGAAGTGAAAGACAGCTTCAAAGAGCGGAGGCGGGCGAGATCTTGCGCCGCGTTTTGCCCTTTCCCTGCTGGTGCGATAGGCAGGGAATGAGAAATGGAATGAACCCGGGGATTCCCTTAAAGGAAACCACAAGGGATGGTTTACAAGGATCATTCCCTCATTCCCGGCTGAGCGCCAGCAAGTTTCCTTTGAAGGTTCTGTTGAATGGAATCTCCGTGCAATTAGGCTCCCTGTGCTCGCAGAGCCATTGGCCATGCATGTGGAGAAGAAGTCGAGTGAACTTTGTTCGTAAGTCAAGCTTCAACAGACTTTAGAACCTGGGTTCCCCCAGTAGTGTCCTTTTACCATTTCTTTTTTGGTTGGGAGGGTTCCGCTACTAAAACAGACTACAGAAAACAAATCGGGTACCCTTCTTCTAACCTCTCAAATCTGGAGGACCTAGGCCATGTTTGGGGTTCCAAACCCTGAAAACCGGGCTCCGCAACCACCGAAAGACCAACTTTTCTGGAGGACCAACTTTTCTGAGTCGCGGTGGTCTGGGTTGGAGGTTGGCAGGGCCCTCCAATGAGCTTGCGACGCTCGCGGATGCGAAAACTCGTGGCAAAACAAGGAGACCCCAAAGAGGGGGAGGGGGTGTTCCAGTTGGTGTCCCTTTAAGCCAACCTTAAAAAAGGGAACCCTCCAAGGCGCGCAAAAGAAAATCGATTAATTACAGAGTCTCCTGCAGGAAGGAGCCATATGATGTTAAAAGGAAACCTAACAGGAAAGCCGTCGCGCCATTTGGGGGGGTTCTTTCTTGGTCCATTTCTTTCTTATCAAGTCGGCATGGTTGTTATCCAGCCAGCTCCATGGACCCATTTGGGGGGCTCTCGAAAACAGACATGCCAAAGGCATCCAAGATGGAGCTCCAGGAGGAGATAGAGCAGACCAAGACGCGCACAGACCAGGAGTGCAGAACATCAGTGGCGTGCATGTATTTGGCAAAGTTAATAAGGTGTTGCTGGCCTAGGTTGCAACTCACTTAGAAGGGTGGTTTGTAAGATGCCTCGTCAAAATGGGGAAACTTAACGTGATGGCGGTTGAGCTTACTTGAACTTGGGGTGTGTTTCACTCAGGAAGTGAGCTGGTTTCCAACGAAGTCAGAAAATCATCCGTCGAAGGCAAAACCACCGGCTCCACACTTCAGAGGTTCCGTGGTGAAGTGATGTCCAACCAGAAGCCCATCAGTCTTTTGCAAGAGACTCCAAACCAAAGTTCCCAGTCTTTTCAAACCCAAAGACGGGGGGTTTTCTCGTGTGTTTGATGCTAAGGTTTTAATCTTTGGTTGCCACAGGGAATTAAACCCAACAATTCCTTGTACGACCCAACCCTGGGTTTAATTCCACATGGGGGTAGTCAATAGGACCGTCTGCCGTTTGCCTAGGGCGAGCTCGCCGATTCGGGGGTCAAAGCAGGGAGATTCGATTCGTATTTCAGGTTTTGGAGGTATTGCAAAACAAACGTAGCTTTTGTGCATTTTGCTTGGATGTTAGACTTTAACTTTTTGCCAACTAATGGGTTTTCCACAAAATCACTAAAAGTTAAACTTTTAGCAGGGGAGCAGAAAAGCAACCGACGTAGAACCTCCGCTCATCCCTTCGTCGATGGAACTCAATTAACCTTCAGGGACATTACAAGTGCGTGAGCCTTGCAAGTAAAAATGGATCCGTCCTTTCTATCCGCGACAAGCTCAAAACTGGAGGATTCCAGCCATTCCTTCTAAGTACAGTTGGGTGAAAGTAGATGGCTACAATTCCCAGATTTGGGTTTAGTCATCCCCTTACTTTAACCCCGGTGTACTTGTTTGGAGAAACGAACACATTGGGTTGGAAATATATACAATACTTTGTTTGGGTTGCGAGGAAAGACACCCTATGTGTGGGACGGACACCCGATGGGTTTGAGGAAACCCTATAGGTTTGACATCACCGGCACCATTCAAATTCCAATCCGCCATGTGATTCTACCGGTGATGATATCCACATCTGGCTTTATTTCAGCTCCCCAAAGTTGTGTGGTGAACATATATCTCAACCATATGTCGAGATCCGTCCTTCGTTTTGTTCCTTTTTTTCTCGGAGCCTTTGGAAAACCAAGCCGCCACGGGGTTCTTTGGAGATCCACCACCCCCGAGCCGCTGCCTCGCTCCGTCCGCGAGAGCTCCAAGCTCGAGCCGCCAGCTCCGCGCGCGAGGAGCTGGCGGCGCTGCACGCGAGCTACGCGCGGCGGTTGCAGCAGCTCAGGGCCCAGCACGGCGGGGAGCAGCGGGGCTTCCGGGCAGCGGAGGCGATTGGGGGGTCGGGGGGGGGGGGAGAGGGGGGGATTGGGGGGGATTGGGGGGAGTGGAGGGGATTGGGGGGGATTGGGGGAATTGGGGGGGGGGGGTTTGGCGGGGTTTGGTGGCGGGAGATTCTTGACTGCTATTGGGGTGGATCTTTAGAGGGGGTTTCGCCTTGAGATGCCTCCAACTCCATGCGCGCTTTTGGTTGGGTTCCAGGTTGCCCAGCGGATCCATTTAACCCGCATGGCACAATGTAGGTCACCAAGGGCTTGCCACTTGAACTTGACAATCTCTTGGGGTGGATCTTGAGACTTTAACTTTTTGAAGGAAGGCAGGGGGTCAACAGCAGCCAAGAATTGGACCTACCCCTGGGTTTTCCGCGGCGTTGATGGGGGTGTGTGTGATGCTTTTCGTGGTCTCAAGGTGTTTGTTTGTCTTTTTTGGGTGGTTGGATGGGTGACCGCTTGGCGTGTTTTGAGGAAGGGGCCTCTTGCCTCTCGCCTCTCCTTCCGCAGGAGGAGCTGCGATTGCTGTACTCCCAAGAGGTGGAGGCCGCCAGGAAGGCTCAGGACCTTCTTTTTTTTCTCTGTCGGTGTGTCTTAAACGATGGATTGTTTTTTGTTTCTTTCGGTTTGTTTTGGTTTTTTAGCTAAGATCTGGACTTTTGTGACCCGACTAGCCCGGACTCCAGCTCAAGGGAAGACCCCCCCAGAAACAAATCTGCATTTTTGTTTGGCTCAGCCCCTGAGCTCATTGACCGTGTAGTCACTCCTTGGGTTTGGACCAACTTTAAATAAGATCTGGACTTTTGTTGGCCAGTGGAAGTGAGAATAGGGGACCCCCAAAAAAAATATGGCTTTCTCTTTAGTCTCCCTTCAATCCAACCCCCAAAAAGCGTACACCCGCCTCGTTTGTCGGACTTACGGGGTCCGAAGTGAACTCAGGGGCGATGTCCCTTTGCCACTTAGAGGGTCAGACTTAGCTTGACTTTTGATTGTCTTGCCTTTTTCCCCACCAGCTGAAAGCTATGGGGTCTCTGCCCAAATAGGCATTGGGGTGGTCTGGGGCAGCTTTCAGCTAGGGTTCCGGGGCTGTTGGGTATGCAACCTGGGCTTATGTTTTTTCGTCATCTTTGCTTTCAACCAGCACACACTCGTCGTTGTTTTTTCTTTTGGCGGGTGGGATCAATTTGGTTAGGGTCCCTCGGAACACGTGTCCACACCTGAGGTTCATTCAACACCTCTGATTAGTTGAAATCCCAGCCAGAGCCGAAGAAACCAGGCTGCAGCATCATCCTGTGTGGTTGTTATATAATATACATAATGTTAACCCCGAATCAAGAATTAATAACCCCCTGGTGGATTAATACGGGGGTGTCCCCTTTTAGTGGTTGGATTCAGACCACTTTTGGAGGGAACACCCCCCCAATAATGGGACGGTAGATCCTGGGTCATGAGTTTTCTTTTGCGGTGCTCCACCGACCAACAGCAGGATGGCGCATCGAAGAAGCACCGGATTGGGATGGCATGGTGGTCAAACTGACTCGCTCGAATTCCCTGAGTGAGCAACTGGTGACACAGTTGCTCACTCAATGGGGATAGAAGGGAATTCGACCGAGTCAGTTCGACCAGCATGCCATCCCAGGGCAGAGAAACATACCTTCTTTGCGGGTCCTCCCCTTCTAAGTCACTGGTCTTCCAACACCCGATCGTCAGCTTCCATGTTTCTTGGAGAGGGTAGACGCCGGTCTCCCATGTTTGCAATTTCCGCAAGGCATTGGCCTTTTCCCCGCACGCGCAGGAGGAGCTTCGCCGCGTCCACGCGCGTGAGACGGCGGCTGCCCAAAGCAGCCAGGCTCGCCGTTGAAGAATTGGACCCTCTGGCCGTGTCTAATAGTTGCTTGATTTGTGGGTGTCTTTGTTGATTTATTCATTTTGCATATCGTATTTCTACATTTTTGTGTTAGCTTGTTTGTTCATTCGTGTATATATTTGGTCTTTGTTCATTATGTTGTGGTTGGTGTTACTTCTTGTTTGGGTTTGTAATGTATCATGCTCCAGTGAAGTGTGTGTGTGTGTGTGTTTAGGTGTGTTGCTCATTGACTTATATGGTGGTTTATTTGTTTGATTTGTTGGCTGTTTTACTGTTTGTTGTTGTTTTACTTATTTGTCTATTTAGTGTTATTTAATGTTACATAATGCTATTTATGTGTTTAATTATTTATTTATTTTATTATTTATGTGTTTATTTGTTTGTGTTTGTTTGTTTGTTTGTTTGTTTGTTTGTTTGTTTGGTTGTTTGTTTGTTTGTTTATGATTTATATATATGTATGTAGTTGTGTATTTCTTACTATTTGTTCATTTATGTTTTATTATGTGGTTATATGTTGTTTGATTCATGTATTTCATGTCTTGAATTACTTATTTCCCGGCAAGCTCTCCGGGTGATCAAGACCGTGCAGATGCAGGTGGACGACTACTTCCCTGGCGGCCGTACGCAGGGAGCTACGCTCACCCAGTTTGCGACCTTGAACATATGTTCGCAAACGTTTGCGAGAAATTTGTCGTCGTGGAAGATGAGCTCCCAAAGGATTGGGATGGCGCCCTTCAGGATTATGTGGATGCTACATTGGGGTTGAAATCGCCCAACACTGTCATCAAGAGGGCCGGTACCATCCTTCAGTATTTTGCTTGGCATGCATCGCGCTTTCAACATGACCCGGCCCCTTTTTCGGAACAGGACGTGTGGACCTATGTCACGTGGCTCAAGGGGCATGATGGAGCTCATACTCGAGCAGTTTCATTTGTGTCGGCCTTGAAAGTGCAGCTTCAGAAGCAGCTCAGCTATGTCAAGAGTTTGCTCATGGGCGCGATAAGAGCCCGCCCATTTGAAGGCTCCCCTCGTTAAACGAGGCTCCCCCTTTCTTCTGACCGAATCGCATGTGTTTACCTCTCACCATGGCGCAGAAAGACTCCTATGAGAGGGCCCCTTTCAGTGTTTTGGGTCAAAGTGAAATCCATGTTCCAAACTGGTCCCAACACCTACACTGGTCAATCCATGTTTTTGAGTCAATGAGAGGGACCCCTACGATCCCAGAGGAACGAGATGAACATTCGCCCGGAACACCTCCAAACTAGGCTCACCACCAAAACTCGAGGGATGCGAACGGATCCATCACGAACGGAACAAACAACGCATTGTGAGTTCCTGGACTTTCGTCACTTGGGAAGATCATGTTGGTGTTAAATCAAAAGTTTTGTTATTTTCCCTCTTGGTTCTGGACATGTGTGTCTTACTCTTTCCCGGGGGCGAAAAGCCAAATAGAGGACGTTGGGTTTCTCTTTGTTCTTGCTGGTGCTCAGTAGGGACTGTGGGAAAGAATGAACCCCAGCATTCATTCCATGTCCCTCCCGCGCCTCCCTGCCTATCGAACCCACAAGTCTTGGCCCCGCGCGTGCGGTGAGCCCCACAAAAATCCCAGGAGGCCTTGGCGGAGGCTGCGGAGGCCGCTGCGGCCGGCGAGGCGCGGGGAGAGGACTCGGGCTCATGGAGAAGCTGAAAGGAACGCCAAGTTTTTTTTTGGGGGGGGGGTCCCCTGGAATCAATGGGTGCGTGTTTTTTGTGAGGCTATACCTTGTTTTTTGGTTGTTTGCTTTGGTGGCTTTGAAGGGAAACAAAAGGACAACCTCCTTTTTGGGGTCCCCAGAAAAAGACACCCATGTGGCTACAAATTTTAAGAATTGGGACCACCTCTTAAAAGTGGTTGGACATAAACCACGCCTAAATGTTTCCCTTAAACCAAGCAAAAAGCGAGGGTCCCCCCACAAAAACACACACACATACACAATGCGGGAAATATTGTCCCTACCGTGCTTCTTAGATGTTTGTATCCAAGTGAGCGTGTGTTTTTGAGCTGGTCCCTTTATGAAGGTGGGTCGAAAGGACAGCAGAAAATTCGGGGGGGGGGGGGATTTTGACACTCACACGAGCGAATGGGAGCCATCCTTTTGGGAAATGGATGAACCCTTTTGGGGTTCCATGTTGAACTCCAAATGGGGTCTACAACCCCGCCAGGGCAATTTGCTGGGTGGTCCCAACCCACACGGGATACGTGGGGCAGCAGGACTGCCGTCTTTGGGTACAGTATCTATCATGCTCGAAAAGTTTAGCGGACTTGACCTGGGTCCTGAAAAGTTTTGACTCCTCTTTGGCATGGTTTTTTTGTCCAGGCCGTTCGGCCGGAGGGTTCCAAAGCGGGTGCTGCTGAACCCTACTTCTGGGCTCGCGGCTCGAAAAAACGCCTTGGTTGTGTCGTGCTTTCAGTTCAAAGTAGACAAAACTCCCCAATTGCGAAGATACTTTTGACAAGCTTGTTTCAGAGTCGTAAACTCCCCAGCAGCAATTGGGAGTCATATTCTGGGTTTTGGGGGTCCGCTGTTCCAGAGAATGCTTTTGATGCTGTTGGGGGGTACTCCTTGGCCTACCGATGTTTGAAGTGAGTGTAATTAAGGCGCAGCACATTCCCCTTTGGGTTTCTGCGCATCCTCTCTGAGCTATCTGCAAGAGAACACGTACTCGCCCAGGCCCCACTCAAACCCCTCACGTAGCCGTGTCATGACCCTAGTTGTAGGATTTTTGTTGACCAATACGTTCGAGGCAATTGGGCTTCTTGTTTGTGAACGATACCCGGACTTATCAGTTTCGCTACCAACTCAACAAAGGAAGCACCCAAATAGCAAGGCAAATGGAGCTTACTTGCCGTGCCCAGGAAATCAAACACATGTTGTCCCCGATAGCTTGTTTCATCTTCACCAAGCACGGGCCACTGCTATGTAATTCATGGGGCACCTGGTTGGGAGGGATCTCCCTTGGGTTTGGTCGGATGTCTTCCCGCGCAGGCCGCTGAGGCTCGTTTGGGGGCTTGGAGGGGGGGGTGACCTGTGGCGCGATCCTGTTTTCCACTTTTACACGGGGGTTGCCATTGGGGGAGTCTTCAACAGCCTGGGGGGTGTCCTTTGTGCCACTTATTAGGAGGAATAAAATAGCAGTGCTTCTAGAAGTCATCATTGGTCTCAAAATAACAAGAACTTTGAGAGAAAGCTGGCTGTTTTCTGCTTAGAGGCCTCGTGTCGGGTCGGGGAAAAACGCACGCAATCCTGGGCCGCGCTTTGATGCAGCTATCGTGCATGGTGTACCAAGGGTACCCTGAGTTCTGCTGTGTAGTTGATAGGGGCTTAAAATTATCACAAGTGCTCTTTCCATGACTAAGTTCAGTGTTAAACCCCACCCCATTCAAACTGTTTGGGCCCTCAGAACATGAGCAACTAGTCTATGGGGACATGCGGCCTCTCCGTTTCCTTTGGTTGCTTACAACGGAACCCACATGAACCATTATCAAGTAATAAGGCTGTGTCTTTTTTTCAACCACCAACCCCCCCCTTCCCCCCCCCCCCTTCCCCCGCACCCTTCCCCCCCCCCCTTCCCGCCCCGGCAAAAGAAACGGCTTCGGTCTTCCTGTTGGTTTCCCTTTGCCCTCCAAACCGAAGCACCAAACAAGAAAGAGACACACATATGGCCCTCATGTCCTGCCGCCAGGCGCGCTTGGCGCGGGCGGCTTTGCAGGAGGAGCAGGCAGCGAGGGACGCCTGGCAGCTGAAACTGCAGCAGGAGGCGCTGGCGGACCTGGGGTGGTTCTGTCCATTTCCAGAACAGGCAAACTCCATGAAAAACCAGATTTTTGGAACCGAATGATCATTGGAAAAGTAGAATTCGGCTCACACCCCATCCCTCAAACCAATGACCAAACAGGCAAACTCCATGCAACCCATTTTTTGTCAATGAAGAATGAATCAAATTCGGAGTAAACCCCATCCTTCAAACGAATGACCAACATAGGGTAGAGGATTTCTTTCATGAATGATTGGTTTCTTGGGGTGCCCATGCCATTAGTTGATGATGTCGGAGACTCCCTGGTAGGGTGACCATTGAAGAGGAATTGCCCGGGTGACCATTCAACAGCCAAAGAGTCTTTGCTGCCTGCTTTTCCTTTTTGAATCTGGCGTGAACTGGTGTGCTTCTCTTATATGTGTCAATGTGAAGGAGTGTGAGCACGTATGCTTATGCACGCTCCTCCATGGTTGCGGAATATGTTGGTTTTTGGGCCTCTTTACCGTGATACCAAGACAATACCCTGTAAAGTGAGTGAAGTGAGACAGTAATCAGCCATGGGACATGAGACTCCAACGTCATGTTAACTTCGGATGAATCCGAAGGGCCATGCTTGTCACGGAAAGTCGCCCATTTGGCCGAAACATTGCCTTCGCACTTTGCTTGAGGCTCACTTGGCGCGAGCGGCTTTGCAAGAGGAGCAGGTGACAAAGGACGCGCAGCAGAAACTGCAGGAAGAGGCACGGGGCAAACATGGCACAACCCACCACAACCCACCACAACCCCCACCACAACCCCCACCACCACCACCACCACCACCACCACCACCACCACCACCACCACCACCACCACCACAACCACAACCACAACCACAACCACAACCACAACCACAACCACAACCACAACCACAACCACAACCACAACCACAACCACAACCACCGCCGCCACCACCACCACCACCATGAGCTGTCTACCTATAACAAGGAAGCTGACTAGGGCTTGGAAGGCCATTTTCCTCCAGGGACCTTCAGACAAAAGTGGCCCTCTGCTTTTGTGATCGAAGGTTTTTTTTTAAACGGATCCCCCCTGGACAGCCCGGGTGATGGCAAGCATGACTGGGTGCTAAGTAGCCCTTTCTAATTTATCCCAAAATGAAACCAAAGGGGATGGGACAAGATTTTATGTAATATGTTTCTAGAGGTCCATGGGACAAGATCTTATGTAATGTGGTTCTTGTTTTTTCGTTTTTTTTTCCTAGTGGTCCTCGTTACCCAATCTGGTACACAGCGTTGGCTTGGGATTCGTGGCAAGGCTCGCCTGGCGCGCGCGGCTCTGCAAGAGGAGCAAGCAGCAGACCACGCCTGGCAGCTGAAACTGCAGGAGGAGGCGTGCGGTGAAATCGACGACGGACGTAACGGGGGACTGGGCGTGTGCAATTGAAGCCTTGCTGGTCTCAGCCTTACCAGTGCTGCAGACTCTTTGCTTTTTGGGGGCGCTTGAATCTAGTCCAGTCATAGTTGACTTTTTGCAAGGAATCAACAAATCATTAAGGAGCCATGCGCAGTGGCTACGGAGCTTCCAACATATCGGCACTTACCTGGCCCAACTTTGTCCTGCCACGGTTTGGATTCGTTGCATGCCTTGCATCAACGTTTGTGCCTTCGATGTTTGCTCGACAGATTACACGGTGCAATAGACGTTAATGCCACAAGCTACTGTTGACAGCGCAGTCGGATTTATGCCGTCGCGCATCAGTTGCAATCAGATTGTCAGAGTGTGTGGGTTTCCTCGAAGTTCGTCCTGGACAAGACGAATCAGCTTCTATAATTGTCTATAATTTAGGAAGAACAAACTTAGAATGTTTGGATGCGCAACCCTAGCTGAACCTTTGGAAGTGATCATGGTTGTGGCACGCCGGGTTTGCAGGGAAGACGTTTCCGCACCAAGGGGATCTCCTTCAAAGTGATAAAAGTAGTCATGAGGATGGCACTCCCTCTTTCAGATTTCTGGCTCCATTATTTTACCATTGTGAAAGTCACCCCCCAAGTGGTAGGGTAAAGGAAACAACCACTTCCCATTTCTGACTTTGATAACCCCTGGAAACCGCCGGAAATAACGACCCCAGGATTTGGCCTGGCGGGAAAATGCATTTTTCCGCGGCTTGAGCGGCTCAGGCTCGCCTAGCTCAGGCGGCTGTGCAGGAGCAGATGGCAGTAGACCAGCTGAAGCTGCAGGAGGAGGCGATCAGGGGCCCTGAAAAGCCCGTTCCTCTTGGCACCTGTTAGCTTTCATTTACCCATTTTGGTTGGTAGGTGAATTCACCACCCATTTTAGAACCTTTTTTAGTGGGGTTTGGGATGCTCACTGGGGGTAAAAACACATGGGTAATTTTGGGTCAAAATTAAACCAGGATATGGACCGCAGGAATTTTAGTCCATGCTTCCGTTCACCAGGGCAAGCCGTTTTGGGTACATATTTTTGACCCACAGCCATTTGGAGTAGAAGGGTCTGCTTGTTTTAAAGGGAAACCAAAGGGAAGCCGAAGCCATCTTGGGGGTCACCGAAGCTATTTTGAGACAATCTCAGAAGTTGCAGCCACCTCCTTGTCATAGCCTGGAATTGTGAAGGGGGAAGCCCCTTTGTGTGGAGTCCACCCGGGGTCCCATTTGTATTGATACGCTTTTGCTAAGCTGTCTTTGGCCATGGCGCACTGATTTTCCTACGTTGACGGTAAGCGACTTGGGAATCCAAGAGTGCTGTTGCCAAGAGAAACAACCAATGCTTACAGGATTCCCTGGAGTTAAACCCAGAAGGTCTCCTTTTGGGGGGAATGAACCACCCTGCAAGTGCGTTAGCCAGATCTGAGCCTTTGGCACTGGATCGAGAACAATTTGAAGCCATGTCAAAACTTGCGAGTCCGTTGGGAGATGTTGCCATTGACCAGCAAGCGAAGCTCCTGAAAAGGCCACCATGCAAATCTGTGCGGGAGTAAGACCAAGTTCCCCTGTCATACGAGCTCATACTGAACTTGGGTAGACTTAGGATACATTTTTCATGTTACCAGTGACTCAACGTGAAGCAAACAATAACATATAAATTCTATAACTGGGCCTAACTCTAATCATGTTGTGGGTCTGCCTTTTGTTCCCTTTAGAACCATACCCTAATTGGTACCATCCCTTTTGAAGAATGACCGTAGCTCATCGCCAGATCCTTCGAGCCAGGTGCAGCAGCAAGTGCAGCAGCAGGTGCAGCAGCAGGTGCACTCGCAGCTGCAGCTGCTGCAGATGCACCTGCACAGCGATCAGGCGCCGCCAGGCGCGTCGGCGCGTCCGGAGGGCCAAGCCGTTCCAGCCGGTTCCTTGTGTGCCTCAAAGCCGCGTGTTTTTGGTAATATGGCCATGGTTCAACACCAATAGTACCATTTTGGGATAGGTGCCCCACCCATTTTAGTCTGTTTAGTGGGGATTGGGATGCTCACTGGGAGTACGGGGTTTTGACCTTGTTACCCAAAGGGAAACCGAAGGGAGATGGGTATTTGTGTTTAGCCGGATCCTCTGTTTCTCGCACCGGGCTTGCGATACTTTCAAAATGTTCGGTCCATGAAAGCTGCAACGGTTTCAATGCCTTCAAGCAACCCAAAGTCGATACTTGGACACGTGACGGTGGGAAGACCCACTTTCCCATCGAGGGGCAGAAGCGGCTTTCTGCCCCAATGTATCCACGAACGTTAGTATGGAACCGACCAGAAGGTCCTTTGTCTGTCAGGAACCTTCATGGTAGTCTACTGACAGTTTTGTTAGTCCATTGTAAAACAGTTACCAGTTTAGATGTTCCTTGTTAAGTCATGTTTGGATCATCTTAACATGACAACCACAGAAATAACTCATGTTCCTTTCTCCATATCCATTTCCGGACGTGCACATTTCCCTCTTACACCCCGAATTGGACGGCATACTCTTTGGGTAGACCATTGTAGTGGCGAAGAAAAAGTTCCGACTCTTTAGTTACTTCACGAAGGAAGCGAGCATAGTGCCCGTCCTAAAACCTTACACGTAAAGGAAGAGTTGTGTGAAGGGGTTGGCTCCTGCTGTGCTCCGCACCTTGAAGGAAAGAAACGGCGAGCTTCAAGAGCGGCACAGAAATATTAGGTGTGCTTGTAGCTTCTCAGCCGATTCACTCGGCAACTGAGTGGTACTTCGGGCAAAATCCACTTCATTCCAGCTGGGATGTATGAACTCTTGTGAATGGCTGATAAACCACCAATCCCACTTGCAGAAACCTGCAGGATATATCATCCAACTGGACCTTGGCTCCCTGTATTCATACTTGGATGTTCGGCCAGGATAGGTTAAGTGGTTAGCCACTAGGGTTATAACCCACTAATGACAGGGTGAACTCTACTTTTGGGGAACCTAGACTTACTGGTGCTCAGTAGGGAATTGACCAAGTCCGGGTGTTGGGAATGAACCAGAAGGGGATTCCCTTGAAGGAAACCACCAGTTAGTTATTATTATTATTATTATTTTTTAATGGAGTTCATTCCATTTCTCATGTGTCCCTGAAGAGCCTCCGAAGGGAGGGCCTCCCCAGATTTGAGGAAATATGCCCTAAGCCTTATTAAGCCTACTCGGGGTCATTCCATTTCTCATTCCCTGCATCTCTCGAATCAGCAAGTCAAACCCCAGGCTACCAAGACTAGGTTTTTCAGTAGTGGACCTAGAAGAACTCAAATCCGTCCGCGAGGCCTTCACCCGGCCAGCCGCCAGCTGCTGGGGGAGATGTGCGCATCCATGCACCAAGCCCTGTGCCCGGGGCCCTGGATCTGGATGGAGAGGGCAGGAGGGGACGCGCTGCACTTTGGGACCGGGCTAAGGCTGGGTCCCCCAGCGAAAGGGTGCCCTTTTTAACCAGCTTTTTGGTTGGGAGGGTTCCCCTAAAATAGACTATATACAGAAAAAAGGGCACTCCAACCTCTCTACCGAAGGACCCAGAAGGGACGTGTCTCTTTTTCTTCGCTTGTTTTGGGATTGGTTTCACGAGCAAAGAATACGCGCTACCATTTTGGGGTTTCGCGATTTGGACTTTGGTGCATCTTGCTTGGATGTTAGAACTTTAACTTTTGCCAACTAATGGGTTTTCCATTGAACCACTAAAAGTTAAACTTTTAGCAGGGGAGCAGAAAGCAACCGAGTGGAGACAGGCCCAGGTAGCTCAACGAGGTTCTGACTCCACACTTTGACTCCACGACGAGCTGTTGGCCGACAACAGCCATGTGCCATTCGACAAAGCTACATGCGTTCGGAAGTACGTGAGTATATAAATCAAATCAAAGAATGCGTCTGATCAGATTTAGTCCGATGCACCTTCTAGTCATTTGCCATTTTTCCATTCCTTATTTGGTTTCTGACGACCTGACCATGGCCATCGTCGTTCTGAGCTGAGGTAATGAAGTGAGAAGCAATCCCTGCCGCGGCCACAGCTGTTCTCGCAGAGATGTCAGCAGGTTGTGACTATGTGCTCCCGCTGAATGCTTGAGGATCCCAAGTTCCCAAAAATAAAATCAGCGGAACGGGGTGACCGGAACGTCATTTGCAATTCTGTTTCCACTGGAAATATGGAATTCAGCACCTGCTGTGCGTCCCCCTTAAGGTGGGAGGATGGCTTGAGGATTGACAGCCTGAGACTTTCCCTTTGCCCCAGTTTGAACATTACCTTTTGCATGGCAAGGTGTGGTTGATATTCCTTTACATTTGAGGAAGTAGCTTTGAATGGGGAACACCCTCAAAATGGCTTGTAGACGCAACTGTGCACAAAACGGGCAACCATTCTAGAGTGCATACCCATGGATATACACCAATCCTAATACACAGATCCAACCAAAAAAATAGCCAAACCCAAGATTCTCCCCAGAATTTTGGTTTTTTTTGGTTTTTTGGTTTTCTAGAGGTTTTTGTTTTTTTTGTGTTCCTCGAGTTTTTTTTGGTTTTAGGGCCAAAACCAAAAAAGCCTTGAGTTTTTTTGGTTTTCTAGGCTCACCCACCTGGAAAACCAAAAAAGCCTTGGGTTTTTTTGGTTTTCTGATAAAAAAGCCAAAAAAACTCGAGGAAAACCAAAAAAAACAAAAAAAACTCGAGAAAACCAAAAAAAACAAAAAAAATAGCCAAACCCAAGATTCTCCCCAGAATTTTGGTTTTTTTGGTTTTTTGGTTTTCTCGATGTGTTTTTTGTTTTTTTGGTTTTCCTCGAGTTTTTTGAGGTTTGTCTAAAAATATAAAGTTCAAAGCATTGAAATTAGTAAAAAATGCTAAAAATGTAAAATTAGTAAAAAATGCCACTCGTAATGGTAGGATCTGAAAAAAACGTAAAAACACAGTGTTTTTTGCTATTTTTCATATTTTGAACTATGTCTGCAAGAAGGCATACCAAAACGGAATCCGTTTTGTGTATTTTGTTGCTTTTATTGGCGAGAAAGCTAAAAACTATGGAAAAACACAGTGTTTTTGCAGTCTTTTATGAAGAAAGAACAAAAGGTAGTTCATGGGGGGGGACCTGACCATATATATATATATATGTATGTATGGTAGTACCAGACAAGCTGATCAAAAGGTAGTTCTTTTTTGGCGGGGGGCTTAGCATATATATATATATATATGTCCGTATTAAGTATACACATACACGAGTGCGTGCGTCTATGTATACATATATATATATATATATATTATACATATTCATTTATGTATGTATACATTATATGTATACACACCCCACATGTTAATATATCTATGTATGCATGTATTCATATATATATATACATAACGTATGTATGTATATGTGCATATATAATATGTATATGTATATATACATATTATATGCAAGATATATGTGCATAGAACATGGACCCCTGCTCCTGCTCAACGCAACACCCGGCACAGACTGAGGCAGTGAGCTGCGCCGGAGTCTGTGCAGGCCGTGGGTCAGGGCTGGGGACATCGGCGAGTTCCGACGTGTTCCTTTGGTTTTCCTTTGCGCCAAGCCCAAAAAGGGCACCTTTGAAGCAAGGCACACTCATATGAGCCACAATCAAAACCCGGGTAGATGAAGGTTAGTATGCGGCCATAAATGGTCGCGGCCGCCTTCTTAATCTTTCACATGGTTCTGGGTAGATTGTTTTACTACCAGGTTTTGATTATGACTCATATGAGGCTTGGTCCTTTTTCAACAAGGCACACTCATATGGGGCTTGGACATGTATTCATGTTGACACGAGTTTCTCAAGACTTGGGACCTTTTCATTGTTCTGTGCACTGCGGGAAGCACCGCTCAGATTCAGAGCCATAGGGGAGCCATGGGAGGTTCATGGCCCTCGTCCTTAACAGCTCCTCACTGACGGTGCCGGTTGGTGGCTCTTGCTGTGGCTCTAAATTTCTGACAGTCTATGGTCTGTTTGGTTCATTTGGTTCATTCCGGAGGGATATTGGGGACTCACTAAGTTTCCCCAAGCCAAACGGAGCCCGGCGTCTTGGGGAAGCAAGTCATTTTGAGCCAGTTCTTGGACCATGCAGGCGAAGGATCATGAGCTTCCCATCCACTTGACTATGGCTCTGAGTCAGTTGGCACGTTTTGTACTCTACAGATCCCCTCTCCTCCAGCCGCTAAGTTGCTTTGCTTTTTTGGGGGGGTCTGTAGGGTCCCATTTGTTGTCCAGGAGAAGGGCGAGAATGCCACGCAGCAAAGCCCTGCAACTCCTCAAAAGTGGCTGGTGGACAGAAATACCAACCCTAAATGATGCCAAACGGACCCCAATAAAACAACGACATATATACCCAAATCTTGGCAACATAATGTCGCGTGTGTTTCAGCTGCTCATTGCATCAGCAGATCCATGCGCTTGGGTTTTATCCGTAGTCATGACTGCCGTGTTGCATGATGCAATGTCCAAATAGTGGGAATGAATGGGTTGATCAGACGGTCACAGTGCCAACATGTTTCTCGATATCGCTTGGCATCATCAACCCTGACGTAGTTTCCCTATATATATATATAAAGCCATCCCAAAAAGGGTACCGTCAAACACATACCCAATCATCATTTGTTTCTCAACATATTTCCATGGTCAAGTCTGCGGAGGCGCTAAATTCTTATCCAGGATATCGGGTCTAAATTCTTATATTGTATATATACATAATATATATATATATATATACACATGTGTATATACACATTCACTCTGTGGCCACGTCTTGGCTTGCGAGAGTGGCAGGGACCTCAAGCAAGAGATGCGGGACCAGTGGAGGAGCCGCGCCGGCTCTTTGTGAGCGTGGCAGCGGAATGTTGCCACTGGATTCAGGGACATTAGAGGGTGCCTCACTCCATGCCCCCGGAAGGTCCTGAGAAGAAATCCTGGCGGTAATGGGGTGCTTTGGTACCTTGACGATCTTTGGTGGGGCTTGCGTATGCTAGGTTCATGCAACGCCGCGAGTCCACCGAATGAAAGGAATCACTGAAGAATGGTTCCAGCCCAAAGGGAACATGAGCCAGCCGGACTACCGTCTCTCGTATTTTGTTGGTTTCTTCGCTGATAGGGGATGTCGAGTGGATTGCATGTTTGCGGATATGTTTCTTCGGCAGCTGGTTGTGTTGGTTGCATCATTCTTTCAGCCTCCATTTAGTTGCTGATTGTGACTTCCCATTGACTTTGCTCATGAGTAGGGGGGTTCAATCCCCGAGCTACCAATCCAATACCACCCTGTGCCCTTGTGGGCGAATCTCAAAACAAGGTGAGCGCGCCGTTTGTATCGGGCTATCCCGCAATTTGATCTGTTTGGGCGCTTTTTCACGGATCCGCGATGGGAAGGCTCACTCGTTGCTGTTCGCTGAGCGACTTTTGCTCAAATATCCCAGAGGGTCCAAGCACTCCTAATCGTGGGCGGAAGAAATGTCTGTGTCCTCCCCCAAGTGGGTGGTTGTGCTTCTGGTTGTCCATTAAGACACCCGGAAAGGGAAACGGCTCAAATAGATCCCTTGTTGCTGCGCCAGGTGAGACGATGAGCGCCCGAAGGTCCCACAGCCAGGACCGGGTTAAACCTGGCTCCGTTCCCAGCCATTGGACTTGTCAACTTTTCAGCGCTTGGGATCCAGATCAAATATCCAAAGAATAACATCCTTTAGTTTGGGGATAGGAATGGCGCCTTTTGGAAATCTTAGACCAAGAACGTAAGGAGTCCTATCAAAGGGTTTAGGGTTTAGACCATGGCCATGTGTTTTCCTTTTCGAGGCTCGCCAATCCGGAGACAATAGGGAACGAGGGACATCCGGTACTTCTTTTTACCATGGTCGGAAACCGTGTGTAAACCTTTGGACTCAGAACCAACACATCGGCAGCTTGGCTGATTGGCTGGTGTTGACGTAAACCAACGGGGAGTCCTCCAGAAAACTTTAACTCCATGCGTCTTTAATCAAGAAGCATAGGTTGCCCGGGGGTCAAATGGTTGGAGTGAATACCCTGCCATCGTTTAGAGCTTTTGTCATCCTTTTGGACAACAAATCTTGTGGAAAGGATTTCCGTGACTTTCATATTTGCTGGGAGGGCAACTGTTGTCAGCCTATTATTTGATAAGGCAGGTAGACAACCATTGCAAGGGTTCCTAGTTCCTACACAGGTCACTATGACAATATAAAGCATTTTGTTTGACCATCACACGTGAGCAACGGCGTTTTGGCAGCAGGATATCCGTTAGGTTGTCCCCGAATTATTCGGTTCGTTTGTTTTTGTTGGTGAGGCAAAGTTGAGGTCGCCTCATGTGCTTTCCAGACCTGGACCTTACGGACTGATTTCGGGAGCATGGGGTGTGGTAAGGGTTGAATCCAAAGGCGACTTGAGTTCTAAGCATTATGGGTGCAGGAAAAGCTGGCCCCATGTTTTGTTTTGTTTTTTCTCCGATGCACGTGCTTTTATTTTTTTCGGCGAAGGTCTGCTTGGAAGAGGTGTTTGTCCACTTCCATGTTCACAAGGGTAAACGATGGGTGCAACAGTTGCTGTGTGTCGTAGGAGAACCAACCCTATGCCCAGTTTCCCCTTGGTTTCACGTTGCTTGCAGGGGGTTTACTCTGGTTTCACGTTGGCTGCCGTGGTGGCTTCCCTTTATTGGTATGGGTCAAAATTCAACCACCAGGAGACTGCAGGCTTTAGTCCTGGTTTCCACTTACCAGGCTTCTATGTTGGGTACCTATTTTTGATCCACACCCATTTCCGTTTAGAGAAACCAAAAAACCCTCAAGAGAGCCGGCACAGGCCATGTCAACGGGCAGCACCACTGGAAGCAGCAGACAGAGGCGACGCGGATCGCGGATCGGTTTCGAATCCACCCTGCGAATTTGAGGGGGGGAGATTTGGACTCGAGATCTTATGTGCTAAGTCCCCCAGTAGTGCCCTTTTACCTTTCCTTTTGGGGGAACTACAGAAAAAAGGGTACCCTTATTCTAACCTCGCTACTGGAGGACCTAGTGTGTGAATGTTTGAGGCTCGGCGCGCTTTGAAGGAAAGCAACAGGGATTTTTAGTTGCCTTTGAGTGTGGGGGGATGAAAGGTCCTGAAAGGACACCAACTGGGGCCAGCGAGAAAATAAGGTGCAACCATCAGCTGCTTTAGAGGATCCAAGCAGGTGGTTCTTGGATCCTTGTAAAGCAGGTGGTTCTTGGATGCCCGTCAAGAACAATGGGTACCTCTGGTGATCTTGAGGAAAACTCACCTTGGTCCCCCATTTCGATACATACCCATGTGTGCCATGGTGAGTACCCTTTTGGGTTAACCGGGATGGTCGTGCACCTGGTAGTAGAGATCCTAATGATTCCTGTTGAGGGAAAAATGACCATAGACCATACAAGGAGTTTTGAGCATGGCTTAGCACGAAAGCTAGCTTGCTAGCTGGGGTCCCTTTTACAGTGCTGTGATTTTTCAATTTTTGAGCGCTGACTGCGGCTCAGGAAATTGGCTTTTCAACATCATATTTCCGTGACAGGCACCTCTGAATGTTTGCACCACCACCACCACCACCACCACCACCACGGGACAACAACCATGTTGCTTGGCCGATCATTTTGGCTAGGCGTGTCAGTTTGCGATTTTGCCTTGGATAAGGCGCCACCTTTCTGCATATCAGGGATGCCTTGGCCAACTTAGAGGTAGACGGCTGTATGGAATTATTGAGGTATTTGAGCTTATATGGGTGCGTCTTTTTCGGGAGGATCCTTTTTGGGGTTGGTTGAATGAGAAAGCAAAAGGAAGAACGACTCAGTTTGTGAGTCTCCTGTTTCAGAACACACCTATATACCACTTCTATAAGCTGCACGTACTGCCTCACCAGCTCTTGTTGCTGGATGCCCTTTCAACCAACCAACAAATCGGATGTTTTGTTTCCTCCCATGGAAATCCACTGGGCATCTGAGGCACCAAAGGCGAATCCCACCGCCGAGGCGCCCTTCGGTGCCCTCGCCGGCGGCCAACCTGGCGCGGCAGGCGTGATGGGATCTCAGGCTGCGGGTAGCTTCTACTAGGTCCCCCAGGATCGTGCCCTTTTACCTTTCTTTTTTTGGGGGAGGGTTCCCCTACTAAAATAGACTACTGAAAAAACGGTACCCCTAGAGCTGGATGGATGGAATCAACCCCTAGAGCTGTACCCTCCCCAGCTTCATGCGTCCTTCTCTTCAAAAACCTGGGCCAAAGCCCTTGAACATAGGTGGCTTCTAAAGAGAGCGCTGGCCCATCCCTTTCAGGCATCCGTCTCCTCAAAAATTGGCCAACGCGCTGGTAAACACGGTGGCGTTTAAAGAGAACCATGGGTGAAGAGAATGGGGAATCACAAAATCCTTAGGACTTCTTCTGGCCAAAAGAGAGACTTGCTGGTTCTGAGCAGGAAATGAGGGAATGAGCCCGAAAAACCCCATCCCCGATTTGAATTCCTTTAAGGGAACCCCCAAAGGGTTCATCTTCCCAACAGGTCGTTCCCTACCTACACCAGAAAGTTCCAAAAGTGGAGTTCACCCTGTCATCGAGGGTGTCACCAAGGACCCTGACAAGCACACCTGATCCGCCCAAATGGTCTCCCCTGAGCTGATCTCGCCCCCTTTGAAATATGCACCCATTCACGCCACCAGAATAATGAACAGAAATAAACCAACAAGAAAGCGTTCCCATTAAGACACTCAACCATATTAAACCAGAAGAGGACACTCAACCATATAAAACCAAACCAATAATGAACAGAAAGGAAACCCAAAAGAAGACGTTCCCGAGCGCACCGGCCGCAACTTGCCCAGCGCGACGTCTGGCCACTGGCCAAGCGCGTTGCCAGGAGCTCACGCGCCGGGGCGCCGCCCTCATGGAGGCTTTTGCGCAAGCCGCGCTGGAGGAGGCCGGGGGACAGGGGAGGAAAACGGCGTTCGGTGTTCCTCGGTGTTCCTTGTGCCTTAACCCCCAAAAAAAACCCCACAAAGGGCACCCTCAAAAGGAGAAACACAACAAATTCCCTTTGTAACCCAAACAAATATCAGTGTGTGATGTGTGGTGTTTGTTTTTGAAGAGTACCTTTTCTCAGCCCTTTGCTCAGGGACATCAAAAGGAAAGACATTTTTTGGGGTCCTGAATGTGCCGTGAACAGTTGCTTGGGCTCGTCAAAATAGGGATTTGGAGCCCCAAGATGGAGGGGGGGTGTTCGTGGAAACCAACGGCAAACAAGGCCTCAAGCAGCACCCGTCGTGTTGTCCTAGCTGGTGGGTCTCCCATTTTGGGCCTGTTCAATCAAAACCGTCCAAGATCCATGTCCCATTCTATGCACCCAGATTGAAACAAATTCACCGGTGTTGTTTTTGTTTTCTACATGGTGTGTTTAATTGTTCAACCCATTTTGGAGAAAGCGCCAGTTTTGATTCCCTTTTCCTCACCCATCCAGAAACTACCCATTTTCCTAGGGTGCCCATTCTTTGAAAGGACGGATTTCTGAACCGAATTGGTGTGCGGCTGGAAGTTCTCTAAGAAACAAGAAGCCAACCATCGTTGTGACACGCACTTACATGTCATCTTTTGTCTTTATATGGTTGAGGGTCTCAATGGGAACGCTTTCGTTTGGGTTTCCTTTATGTTCCTTATTCTGTTGGCGTGAATGGGTGCATATATCCAAGCCACAACACTTCAAAGGGGTCGGGATCAGCTCAGGGGAGACCATTTGGGCGGATCAGGTGTGCTTGGCGGGGGTGGAGCATAAAGTCAGTCTCCTCCACATTTCCGGGATCTCGTGTTTATGAAAATGAGATTATTTGAACATTAATTAACCAGACTCAAACACATAGTTTTGGTTGGGCCAAGAACGCTGAGGTAGGCTTTACCGTTGCCCTGCGGACTGCGACAGATGTTCGCGGACTTGAGGGTAACGGCTTCCGGCTATAGTTCCCAAAGAATCAAGGAACCCCAACACGTGTTGGTCTCCAAAAATGGGATTCCTCCACAGTGTACTTTGGCTTCCATGAATGCTGAGTTTCAGAGGCATCTAGAAGGGGTGCGCTGGACGACTAAACATCGACTCAACATCCTTGGACCTCGCATAGAATTCCGTTTTCCTCTTTGGCCTACGGATGCCACTGGTAAAATGCTTTCTGACTTGGCAGGTTTGCCGCCATCGTTTGGCTTGGCACAAGTCGACCAGTAGGTTGGGAGAGAACTGGTTTCAGAACTGTTTGCAAAGCTGCAGCACTACGCATTTGTCAAACTCAACCACCATGGACCGGTTTTAGTCCTTGTTTCCATTGACAAGGGCGTTGGCAAGCCATTTTGGGGTTACTACCAAGTATTATTATTTCGACCCACCAACTCTTCAGTCCAACTTTGTGGCAACATGTCACTCGGCTCGGACCTGGGAACCAAGTAGCCAGTCCCAGTGATGTGTGCAGGCAACCCCTGACTTCAGCCACTGAGCTGGGGCATCGCATCTGCTTGTTTGTCCAAAAGGAATCGCCCTTGTCACGGTGTCCCTTTCCAACCCAAGCAATGAAGAACCAAGGACTGCTTTTTGGACAGCACCTAGGTTTTGGGCATGGGAAAAGGCAGGCGTTGTTGGGGGGGTGGAAGGGGCTTCCTATTTTTTACGCAACTGGTTGACCGTGATTGAATAAGCAAGTCTTTGGACAAGTGAGCTGTAGACACTCTGGAGGAAGCCGGTTCTGAAGATGCGGCATGGATAGACTGTGGCTGTGCGCCATGTGTTTCAGGACATTGTTTTACCGGCACGAGTGGACTGCCCATGTCAAGCAGGGTTATTGGGTTATTGAAAATGGGTGAGGAGGGCTTGAGACCCGTGAGCACAAAAACGATGTCTAAGGGCTGGCAACCAAATGCAATAAACAGACGTGAGCTTGTATGGCAAGGAGTTGAGGGAGACGACTGTTATTGAGGTTTTGGAATCATTAAGATGTGTTTGCTGAATCAAGAGGTTTTTTTTCTTGTGGACGCTGCATCCGTTTCATGTTTGGGGATCCACAGCCAAAGTTCATGCCGCGCCATGGTTTAGCTGAGGGTTAGCAGCTTATGGGGCAAAAAAGGTGCGCAGTGCATTCGGATGGGCGAATGGATCCAAATGACTCACCGTCGCGCCCACCAAGCTCACCCATGAAGGTCTCCTTGGGAGTTCCTTGGTTCAGGTTTGTGAACTATGGTGTGTGTGTTTTTTGAGGGTGCCCTTTTCACCTTGGGAAACCAAGTCGGACAACTATCATTGCTTGGGCCCACGTAATCACATACCCTAGCAATATGCTGAGGCACCCCGGTGAATGAGCCAGAGGATGACTTGCGAAGGGGAATGAGTTTGCACTGGCATCTCCTCCAAAACTTGTTTGCATTTCGGGGTAATGTCGAATTCGGATTTGAGCGAGGACCCTAATCAGAGGACCCCCCGCAGATGATATTCCTTAAAAGGGAGCCACCCCTGATTAGTACCCTCTGGACAACAAATCGGTGTGAACAGTTAGACGAAATATGGAACAGGGTCAGAAGAACAAACAACTGATTGTGCACAGTGGAAAGGTGGAAGACCTGGACTGCTTGAACCCTCACATCCCGCAACTCAGGTTGGATGGTTTCAGGTTAGTTCCTAGCCCTTCCTCGTTCTTCGGTCCTTCATTTTTTTAATAACTGCCCGAGCGCAGCCAAGGCTGGTTCCTTTTTCGTGGTCTGTTGGTTGGTTATAAAAGGGAATCCAAAGGGAACTCAGCCATTCTGGATGGCTTCCCTTTGAGAAAGAACGAGAAGCTCCTTAGATCCCTTCCATCAGAACCCCAAAGGCGATGTTCCTGAAGTTCCTTCCGCCTTGCTGGCTTCGCCTTTGGTTTCCTCCAATAAAAGGAAACCACGCCATCTTTGCGTGTTCGGCACCTCCGGACAAAATGGAATGGGCACACACCCCATGCACCCAATACACCCCACACACACACACAACCACACCCCACTGACCTCCTCCAGAAGGGGTCGGTGCGCTTTCAATGGGGACCCCCTCAACACTTGGTTTTCATTAAAAGTCCACCTAAATGCCCACCAACGTGTGCCAAGCTACCATCTTACACCCCCATTTGTCCACATAGCGACTTCAAGAGACCTGGCTTGCGACCTTGGGCCCGATGAAGCTTCCTTTCTTGGGGTGTTGTTTCTTCATTTTTTTCGGGCGTGTGAGCCAGGTTGGTGAATTATCATGCTCCGCTTGTGTGAGCTATTCATTCAGGGTCCCCTTAAAGGAAACCAGAATGGATGGTGTAGGCGGGTCATTCCCTCATTCCCTGCTGAGCACCAGCAAGCTAAATGAATGTCAGGCTTGGGCAGCATGGGCTTGGGTTCGTCTCCGAAGCAAAGGCATCATGACGGCTCGGCCGTTGTGGTTCAACATATCGACCCGCGCGAGGGATGCCGCCGAGGTTTTGCCCAATTCAGTTTACGCTTTGAGATGAAACACATGACAAGAAGCCCACGGCAGAGCTTGATTTCAGGTCCTGATGCCAAACACGAAGTTTAGTCCAGTCTACAGCGCTACATCGCACGTTTGTTGACTTCTGGGTTTTGGGCGCGCGATTGCGGTTGCGATCGCGGGATCGGGCCAAAGTGCCTTGAGCTGATGACTCGTGAGATAGCAGAGGAGAAGATAATGGACTCGGGGTGCATGGTCTTCTAGCCTTATCCTTGAGACTGAGGCGCAAGAGAAATGGGATGAAATGGGTGTTCGTTTTAAAGTGGAACAGTAGATGGCAAGTTCCTTTTCCCCATTTGGATTCAGTCAACTCCTTTTATATATGCCCAAGCTGTGGCATTCGTTTTTACCCTGGTGCAGGTTCTTGGCGCAGTACCCTCTTCGTGGTTGCCAGGGTTCCTATGTTTCCTCTTTCGGCGGCTTTATACGTCTTTATATTACCTTTTGGCCCGATTCAAAGTGAGCTTCCTTGTGTGATGTTTGTAGCTTGGACTACACCCTCCATTTCCACAAGGTCTGTGAACAATTTATACCCAAGTAGGGAGGTTCCTTTGCTTCAAAGCAGACCTCACCGTTCGAGGCTCGACCTCGCCATGCGCCCGGACGCGTGCAACGCCCACGCCTTCGACGCCGAAGGCGGCGATGGCGAGATGGACTTCGAGGGCCCGGCGCTGCACTTCTTAGAGCAACTCTTGCCCAAGGTGGTGAAGCAAGGCGCCTGCGCCTGGGCAGAGAAAAAAACACCGCAAAAAGAGGCAAGCTCACCGATTCGGGCAGGAAAGAACACCATGGCAGTGGTCCAAAGTAAGCCACCAGGATATGGACCGCAGGAATTTTAGTCCTTGGTTCCGGTTACCAGGGTTCCATTTGGGTACCTATTTTTGGGCAGAGAAACACCTATGGCGAGCTCACTGATTCGGGGGTAAAACGAGCGAAAGCCACGGTACAGATCCTTTACATGGGGATCGTGAGCATATAGAATCTGCAGATTAGAGCGGAATATGTGTCTGGAAATAGGGGATCGTGTTTTTTCTTCCTCCCCTCCAAGTGGTGGTTTTCCTTGTGGTGTGCCTTGGAAACACCAACAAAAACAGAACCCCTCAATAAAGACACCCAATTACCAGCATACAAGCCACAATCAAAACCCGTTGGTGAGGGATAGGTTTCATTTTAGTCCTAGGTTTCATTTAGGACTCATATGGCTGCGGGTTGGTGTGGCAAAATGCGCTGTGGCTGTAGGTTGCTTTCAAGTTGGAACCAACACGCCACCGCTGTGGCCGAAAGATGGGCTCTTGCCGTTCCTATTTCAGGGCTCCGAGAGATTTTCCCAAAAGGATCGTCAAATATCAATAGCGGTTAACATGTTTGGTTTCCTTCACCGCCAAGTTCCTACCCAACATCTTTCGAGCCACCCAACATGTTTCATGACTGATTCTTCTGCCCTGGCGTTTGTGAAGGTGTTTTATCACACGCTTTTCGCTGTCGGTTTGTCTGGGGTAACAACCAAAACGGCCTTTTAGCCACTGGCGGATTTATTTTTTTGCAGGTCAATGTGGTTTGGATTGTTTTGGGGATAGGCTCTGGTTCTTGTAGCGGGTAAATGGGTATGGCTCAAAATTAAACCACCAGGAACAAAAATCGACCTAAACCCACCCGTTTGTATAACTAATTCCAGCCACGCGCTGCACCAAGCCTCGAAGACAAGCCTGGAGATCGGATGCAGCTGGCCCCATTTTGCCATTCTCACGCCCTAGGTCAAAGAGGAACCTCAGTTTCTGACTTTAACCCCTAGAAACAGTCAAACTCATGACCCCAGTGCACCCCAGCGCACCTACGTTTGCGTTGCGACGCCTCCGTGCATTTGTTCGATGTTTACTAGGGTGCGAGACTGCAAAATAGCCTCAATGTGCTCATGCCCCCCCCCCCCCCAATTTGTAAAATGTTTGGAGTTTCCAACCACCCCTCCGCCAGGCTGTTTCGAATCTCCCGTAGAATCACGGGCATGGCTTTGCGCAACGCTAACTCCAAAGACCCAAGCGTGGCTCAGGTTGATCCTTGCTTCTGTTCACCGATTTGTCTAAGGGAAACCTCTATGTCTGGACGGCCGACTTCCGTCGAATCCCAGGTCAGCACTGGGGCATCGGTGCCCTGGCCGCGTGAGCCGCGAGCCGCTCGCCCTGCGGAGCGAGGGGCTCAAAGGGCCTCGCCCGGCGTGCCCGGCGGCCCTTGCCCAGGCAGATCTGTGGGGGGAAGAGGCTAGGTCTCCCAGTGCCCCGTTACCCCTTTTGGAGGGAGGGCTCGCATTCTAAAATAGACTACGGGAAAAAGGGTACTCTTGTTCTACCCTCTCTACTGGAGGACCTAGGAGGTGTGTGTGTGTGTGTTCTTTTTTTGGGGGGAGTGGGGGTGGGGGAGGGGGGGGATCCTTTTCATCTTTGTTTCAGGGGAACCAACAGTTTTTTGTTTTTAAATAACAGACATGTGTTTCCTTGAAGGGTGGTGATAAACATTAACAAGGGAAGTTTGAGCAGGGTCGGCCAATGTGTTTGAACATGCTCAATGTTGGTGCTTGAAGCTGGCCAGGGTATGGTGATTCAAACAGTTTGTTCTCAACCCTGATTGATTGGCACGTCTCTTTGACACCGCTTGGCACCACGCACTTCTTGTCACCTGTTTCTGATGCACCTGCTTGGCGCCTGTTGTTGACACCAGCTGTTGTTGATTTTGACACCTGTTGACAGGGCCGATTCTCGACAGAGCTCGCCCATTGCTTCGCCATAAACGCGGCCCGAAGTTGAATGTTTGAGCCTCCAACTGAGAATTACAATATGTGGGTGTGTGTCGTTTTGTGGGGTTCGCGCAACGGGAACACAAAGGGAAGCCACACATTCCACATTCTGGGGGAGTTCTCCCATTTTGAGACAGACTCATATTCACCAAGCACTTCGGGCAAATGTGGCAAGG